CAGCATTGGATTGGTAACAGGTCGTCTCTGCTCTTCTTGTTCCTAGTACCTGATCATGATTCATCTACTGCTAGATGTACTATCAACACTAGAGCTACTGTATCAATAGAATTCCAACACCACTTGAGTGCTCATACTTGACAAACCAACCAAGTTTTGAGTTTCTACTTCTTGTTAATTTATTTGTCAGGGTAAAAGTACCTGACATGGGCTTTAATCATGCACAGTGATGACCCACTCATTGCTTATTACAGGCAACTTGAAAAAGGTCATTGGTTACATAGTTAGCTGCCTTTAACTCAGTCACAGATTGTGCCCATGGTACAGCGCTTGGCTCTCTTCACCATGAGTATACGGCTGCTACGAGATGTGTATCTCTGTACAATAACCTCGTACTAATCCCCCCAATTTTTTAACTTGAAGTTATCGTGGGGGTGGGTATGCTGTTGGGGTGGGCGTCAGTATCCTTAGACCATTTATCCCTAGGAATATGAGAGAGGAGCTAGTTTTGGCAGGCTCCTCATGCATTGTAAGGTGTTTGTATTGTGGGGAAAATGCATCACAGTCATATACATAATACGAGTGAACGTATATCAATGCGCCCAGCACACACGTATCAAATACTTAGAGCAAGTCTGACCGCCCACCCAAAACAGACATTCTTCTTCTTTCTACAAACCAGCCATATCTCACCGAAGCAGGGCAACCCAAAAAGAAAAACAAAAGTTTCTCTTTTTAACTCGAGTAATGTATAGAGTAGAAGGGGTTACTAGCTCCTTGCTCCCGGCATTTTAGTCCCCTCTTATGACACACATGGCTTATGGAGGAAGAATTTTGTTCCACTTCCCCATGGAGATAAGAGGAAATAAACAAGAACAAGAATTAGTAAGAACATAGGAGAAAACCCAGAGGGATGTGTATATATATGCTTGTACACACATGTATAGTGTGACCTAAGTGTAAGTAGAAGTAGCAAGACGTACCTGAAATCTTGCATGGTTATGAGACAGAATAAAGACACCAGCAATCCTACCATCATGTAAAACAATTACAGGCTTTTGTTTTATACTCACTTGGCAGGACGGTAGTACTTCTCTGGGTGGTTACTGTTTACCAACCTACTACCTAGGAAAACAGACATTATATACACATTTATGGAGCACCCTCCCTACAGTGTTTTATAATAATAGTAGTAATACTTTATTTCTACAAGTGAAACTGGGTGTTGCCTTGAGCTCTGCATATCTCTTGGTTCGCTCTGGAAACCTTCCAAAGTTTCAAGTGTTTTAAAGTTATTACTTCATAACTTTAAATGAACTCTAAGGAGAAAGTGTTGCAAGAAATTAAAAGTGCTACACCAGTGAACACTTAAGTTATAAGAAAATGTGATAACCTTATTGCTGACATGGAAAAACTTTTATTGGTATGGATTGAAGATCAAGCTAGTAACAATGTGCCTTTATGCCAAACCATTATCCAATCCAAGGCCCTAACTTTTATTGTTTTTTGTAGGCCTACCTAGTTCTATTGCTAATTTAATATATGATGGTGTTATTATGCATTTAAAAGTGAAAAAGAGGGTGATTTGCTTTACAGCAGCTTTCGCTTTATGGTGGTAGCCTGGAACCTTTTTTTTTTTTTTTTTTTTTTTTTCAACAAGTCGGCCGTCTCCCACCGAGGCAGGGTGACCCAAAAAAAAAGAAAGAAAATCCCCAAAAAGAAAAAACCTTTCAAACATCATTCAACCCTTTACCAACCGCCATTTCACGGCAGGGCCAAAAA